TCAGGCGAAAGTTGAGCTATTTACTACGGAGAATGACGCGCTTACTGCCACGGTTACGCAGCTCCGCGAGGAAATTGTCAACCTGAAGACCCTGTTGCTTGCTCACAAGGACTGTCCCGTTTCTCAAGCTCAGGGACTAGGACCTCTCATGATGAATGGAATGTCGACAGGATTCGACCCCCATCCCTACAATATTGCAAACAACATGGGTATGCCGCCAGGTGCACCTATCCCTACTCAGGGTATGCGACGATGATATGTGACTTCACCTGAGTTCATGATCCTTAATTGACGCCTGATCATGATTATGACATCTAAAATTCGATCTCTGCTCGCCAGTGTACAGGCCGCTTGGGTCTAGACGGAGGCACGGTGTTTCTCACTTCAGATTTTTCGCCCCTACGCGGGCTCTTACAATTCGACTTCTCGGCTGCGACTTTCCCGCGGACCTTATGGCATGGGCCGGTGTTTATGATGTGTACGAACTTCAAAATTGACGGGAAGAACCAGCTGGTGCGATGGACTTTGATTGCACCCTCGGAAGGTGCAAATTGGGCGCAAAGATTTTTGGCGGCTTGATTCCTTTCTTTCTCTTGTCTGTCTTCTTATCTCGAATCCTTCTTTCTTCAACCCCAAGCCTCGGGTTGCATTTGTGGATCTCAAGGCTCGGACTGTGTAGTATTTGTGTACTCTGGCCTTTCTTTTTTTTGTTCTCCACCGGGGACTCTTTTCGCTTGTTTCATGTTCATGGGGGCACTGGTGTTTTCTGCTATTGTTCTCAGCTCTAATGGGGCGGCGTTTGGCGGTTAGGTTTGTTCTTATGTCTTGATCACGTTTCTGCGTGTATGGCGTTCGTTTTAGGCATTGATGAATGAAACACAATTCAGGTTCATATAGCTTTCAGTTGGTAAGTGAAATCATCGTCATTGGTGTATAAACTCTCGAGAAGCATACACTGTGTCGCGAGTTATAAGTAGTAATAATGGTTTTTTCCTACAATGAATGCACTACCTTAGGCACCTAACCAAGTACTCCGTACCTTACTGACGTCCGCCGGTCTTGGCGTGCCCAAATCAATACAAATCAATCAAGCCAAACACGAACATCCCAGCCTGCATGTACCCTTTTGCTAGGGGGACCTGAAAGTTGTCAGTTTAAGTGGATGAGGTAATCTATCAGAGTACTTTCTCGACTCAATTAACAGGATGCACTGTGGCATTTCGGGAACTCTCATTGAAGTCGACATACTGATTAGCAAACTCCCCGCCTCTTCGCGTTTTCCACAATCCGCGTCACATACGATTGACTCGAGCAACACGATATTGAAAGATAGAAGCCCTCGAGAAAAGCTGGTAGATTGAAGACAGGCAACATTTCAAAAGGCAGATCCGCGAACGACGGCCCGGACAATGTCCTCGCGTCACCCCGCGCGCCCGCGTCGCATCGAAGATGCCCTTTCTCAACTCATCGATTCCCTCACTCCACCCATTTCCCTCTCAGAGATCGGCGATACCGTCTCCGAAGACGCAGACGAGCTACTCGCCGAAGCAGAAGAACGTCGACACCACGAGAATCTCGACCGTGCATGGCGCATCATCGACACATACACCAGCTCCGGAAATGACCCTGCCTCGCCAACTGGCGGCGCGGGCCTGGGCATCAATCGCAGAGGCAGCTTAGCAGGAGGGGAGAACATCAACAACGCGTCGGACCTCATCAAGCGGAAGCTCCTCCGGGAGAATGCGAGCCCCGATAAAGCTGTGCGGTTCTCAAACTTGTATTCGCGCTTGCTGACGCAGCCGGTTCTGTCGCAGAAATGGGCGATTCTGTACTTGCTGTATCGGCTGTCGGGCTCGGATCCCCAGGTCGAGATTGCGGATGACAATGGGAGGAGTCGGAGTCCGCTTCTGGATGCGGGGAATCTGCAGAATATGGTGTTGAAGGGCGGCCCTCAGAGAGTAAGGCATGGCCTGGGGCCAAAATTGGCGGGGGATTCGGACGAGGATGGCCCGGCTGTCAGTTCCTCTGCTTCGCAGGTTCCAGCTAAGATGGAGCGGAAAGCCTCCGTGCGGCGGCAGGAGTGGGAAAGAGAAAAGGACGTCGACCAGGAACACGGGTATGTCACAGCTGACAGAGTTAAAGGAGGTCGAATGGCTCGTGGCGCGCTCGATGCTGCACCTAGAGACAACCACCCTGTGGACGATCAGAGGGTATCGTTTCAAGCGCAGTCATTTTCGGAGGACCCCGAGAAGCGACCTCATGAGAGTGGACTTTTACGTGATTTACCCTACAACTTACAAGGATTGTCGTCTTCCAACTTGGAATTTTCGTCATCTTCCGTTCTAAAACTACCGCCGACTCTTCCCATACCCGTCTTGTCTCTCCTGAACACCTTGGCTGAGCCGTGCCTGTTATATAAAGGTCTGTCGAAATATGTGGAAGATTCTGGCGGCGGCTTGCTCACCCAGAGCTTGCGGGCTGCTCTTTCAAACGAGCTCCGTTCCTACCTGGGTCTTGTAGCAACCTTGGAAGGGGAAATTCGACGGGCGCTGGCCGCTAGCGGAGACCCCTATCAGTCCAAGGAATCGTCCAAAGGGCTGGTAACGTTGAAGCGTTGTGTAGTATGGACAAGAGATGCGACAATGGCGTTACGGTTGATGAGTTTGATAGTTGAGGAGGCTCGGAGTAAGTGTGATTCTTCCTCGACTGCGTTCGTAGTCTTCCATCGAGCTAACGGTACTATTAGACAAGAAAGGTGGTCAATTGATATCCTTGATTCATGGGTTCTCAACGTCTCATGGAGACCCTTTTGTTAATAGCTTTGCGGAAAAGCTGCTCTCACACGTTACACGCCCGTTCTACGATATGCTGCGGCTGTGGATCTATGATGGTGAGCTTTCAGATCCGTATCAGGAGTTTTTCGTTGTGGAACCGGAATTCAGACCCAGTACGGACCCACGACGGCTTGCGACCAGTGTCTGGGAAGACAAATACAAATTGGATGACGAGATGGTACCGTCAATCATCACGCAGGACTTTGCGAAGAAGGTCTTTCTTATCGGCAAATCATTGAACTTCATTAGATACGGATGCGGGGACTCTGGATGGGTTGAGGCCTACTCAAAAGAAGCGTCAAAAGAGTTGCACTATGGTGATACGGCTAGCCTCGAGGCATCGATCGATGAAGCCTACAAAACCACTATGGCGCGACTCATCTACCTCATGGACGAAAAGTTCAAGCTGTTCGACCACTTGCACGCGCTCAAGAAGTATCTGCTACTGGGTCAGGGCGACTTTATCGCCTTGCTCATGGAATCCTTGGCATCGAACCTCGATCGGCCTGCCAATTCGCAATATAGGCATACTCTCACCGCGCAGTTGGAGCATGCCATTCGTGCTTCCAACGCGCAATACGACCCGCCCGACGTTCTCCGCCGTTTGGATGCCCGTATGTTGGAACTCAGTCATGGCGAAATAGGATGGGACTGCTTTACTCTCGAATACAAGATAGATGCGCCTGTTGACGTTGTCATCACGCCCTGGGGCTCGACTCAATATCTGAAGGTGTTCAATTTCCTGTGGCGAGTTAAGCGCGTCGAATTTGCCCTGGGCAGCACTTGGCGGCGATGTATGACCGGCGCTCGCGGAGTTCTAGGAAGCGTCAACGACAAAGCCGGAGCTGACTGGAAGCGGGCAAGATGCGTCATCGCGGAAATGATTCATTTTGTTTGCCAGCTACAGTACTACATCCTCTTTGAGGTCATCGAGGCCAGTTGGGATCAATTGCAGGCGGCCATCTCCAAGCCAGGGTGTACGCTTGATGATTTGATTGAAGCACATACCAAATATCTCAATTCCATCACGCACAAGGGTCTGTTGGGCTCGTCATCCTCATCCCGCACCGCATCCGGCCACAAACAAGAAGAAGGCTTCTTGACCCAGCTCCATCAAATATTGAAGATCATGCTGGCGTACAAAGATGCCGTTGATGGGCTCTATTCATTCTCCGTCGCAGAGTTTACCCGAAGACAAGAGCTCAGTGCTAAAATAGAAACGCGAACTGCTCAGGGGCGCTGGGGCATTACTGAGCGCGATCTCCTAGCTTCCCGGCTCCCACAAGGGCATAAGAACTCCATATCATCACTGACCCCATCGCTGGCCCAATCTCCAACTGTAGGAGTCGCTGGCGATGGGTTCAATACCCCGTCATCTCTCGCCGGCCAAGAGCTTTCTGCAGACGACCACATGCTGGCATCACTTCGCACACGTCTGCGCGAGCTCTCTGCGGAGTTCCGCTCCAGGCTGAACGTGCTACTGGGTGACCTAGCCTACCAACCCGACGTCGATATGCGCTTCCTTGGAGTCGTCATGAACTTTAACGATGTCTATGAACCAGTCCGGAGAAGGAGGGCCGCAACGACCAGCTCCAAGGATAAGGAGCGGGCAAGGCGAAAGGCTGCAGCATCTACCGCACCTGGAGGCAATGGCGAGGCCGGCCCCCAAAGGGAAGGCAGAAGGGAAAGGAAGGACACCTCAGGAGCTGAGAATAGCGGTAATGGAAGTGGAACTGGACCATGATTTCACATCGAGCATTTTTGGGCACATGGGTTTAGATCTTGGAGTCGGACATTCGTCGGAGTCGGGGAATGGGCCTACATGATAACGCGAGATGAATATACGGTTTCATTATCATTGACTTTACTGAATGAAGATGTAAATATCACTCATATCACTGGTACAGAATAAAGCATCTTTCTCCATGCCCAAGCGCTTATCGGTGGCCCGTTACTGATAAGCAGACGCTATTCTGCAGACTCCGCAACTCACGTGGAAAATTTTCCAGAGCTTCATGAATTCACCAACATTGATATAGCTTTCGTCAACGGACTGATTCCGACCAGTTTACTCTTGCTACTTTTGAAATATCTCTTATTAAGCGAATAACTTACTCAGCTCTCCAATTCCCCCTGGCGTTCCCGAAAACACCGCTTACGCTCTCCATGTCGAGCGAGGAATCCGCGCAGTCGTCGCATGTGTCCGCGTCGAAGAAGGCAAGCCGCAAGCTCAAGCATGCAAAGGATACGCCTGCAGTAGACTACGGCGAGGACAACGAGGTTGATAAGAAGGACAAGAAAACCAAGGACAAGAAGAAAAAGAAGAAGTCCAGCGATGGGCAGAGCTCTGAGGACGGCGCAGTGACGACCGACATAGGCGAGAAGAAGCAGATGCAGAGAGAGAAGAAGAGCAAGAAGAGACGGCTTGATGACGAGAATGGCGGGGAGGAGAAAGCGGTTGTCGAGGCTGAGTCTGAGTCTCAGCAGCGGCGCAAGAAGAAGAGGGTGTCTTTTTCGGCGGATACGGTGATGCGGGACGGCGAGGAGAGCCAGAGCGAGAGCCGTCCTGGTGTTCAGGATGATTCAAAAATCAATGGGGATGCTGAAGAGGGTCAGGCTTCCCTTGCTAATGTGGAAAAGGATGACGCGGATGACGAGGGCGCGAAGAAGAAGAAGAAGGAGAAGAAGAAAAAGAAGAAAGATCAGTCTGTGACGACTGCTTCGAATACTTCACCGACGGCTCACGAGACTCCTATCCTTTCGTATCTCGATCTGTACCACAAGCACCGATCCGCATGGAAATTCCAGAAGAACCGTGAGACGCATCTTTTCAAACACATCCTATCTTTGGAACATGTTCCTGCGAAATACAATGCAGCACTTCTTTCTTACCTTCACGGATTGAAAAGTGAGGGTGCAAAGCAACGGCTACGACAGATTGCCGAGGAGGTCGTGAAAGCTGAAATGGAGGAGGATCTGACAAAAGAGCAAGCAGCGGAGACGGAGGACAAGGCCGATTCTGATATGACAGGCTACAAAAGTGCCGTGGAGGCTTTCAGAACACGCTTGTCCCAGGGCAAAGACGATTTTGACGAGATTGAGGCACCTGAGTCGCTTGACGGAGAACAACTGAAGAAGCTTCAGAGACGGCAGCGAGCAGAGCTCGTACTGTTTGCTGTCAGCGGAAAGTTGTTCTACCTCGAGAGAACAAAAGCAAAGCGGGGACCGAGCACCCAGGCTCCGCCTGCTAAGAAGAAGAAGAAGAACCGGACCGCTTTCGTGGAAATCTCGAGCAGCAGTGAAAGTGAGAGTGCTAGTGACAGCGACAGCGACAGCGACAGCGAGAAGAAGCCCAAAAAGGCCGCAAAGCCGAAGAAGGATAGCTCTAGTGAAAGCTCATCGACAGATTCGAGCAGCGATAGTGATGACAACGACAGCCACAAAAGGAAAGCTACAAGGAAGAAGGAAGCCAGCTCAAGTGGAAGTTCCAGCGACTCGTCGACAGACTCCAGCAGTGACAGTGACAGCGACTGAAAGTATACGTTCAAGGGCTTTGACCCTCCTCATTCTCTGGATGTCTTCCGCGGCTTGTTCGATCAGCATGTATAGTTCAAGCCTCACGTTTTACCCCAGACAAAACTTTACAGTATGAAGGGAGCTTGGTATCTCATGTATAGCATTGCCGTTGTATTGTGCATAGACAAAAGCTGGTACTTGACTTGGGTATGTACGGAGTTCCTGCAGGTTACGTGATGATATCTCAGAATGTGCATTTGAGGCTTAAGGCATTTCAAGCCCAGCATTCCTATACGAGGTAGAATATTTATTGGATTCAGTCAATCGAAATGTAAGCGTAAGAAGTGCCGGGTCCATGTGAGACTGTAAAGGCGGTGACAGCGGAGCTTACTCAATCGGGCTCAGAAGCTTGGAGCTTCGGCCAGGCACCTTCAAGCACGCGTAAGTTGGAGATTCCCTTTCCATCATCCTCCAACCCTTTCTCCTTTTCAATCTCAATATCTGCTTCCTTAGAGTCATATATCTCATCGTGTTCTGCTTTCTTTTTCTGGGGAATAACATCGCACACCGCAATCATGTCTGGTAAGCTCCTTGGCTGCTCCATCCGAGTTGACCTCCATGACTTCATCAATGCTCACATCCTCTTCTGAATAGGGAGCGCTGGATATGACAGACATATTACCATTTTCTCAGACCAAGGTCGTCTGTACCAAGTCGGTATGTATAGCTTTCCGATGGCACGCCAGTTTTCTCCAGTCGGCGGTCCCGGCCTTCATTGTGGGCAATGCCGCAAATGCCATCAACGCTGGGCTAAACAACGCTGATTGTTGAAAATTAGAATATGCCTTCAAGGCCATCACAGCTGCAAATATCACCTCAATCGGTGTGAGGGGGAAGAACTGTGCTGTCGTATTGTCTCAGAAGAAAGTTGCTGTAGGTCATTTCACCTCACTTGGCAGGGATACTGCGGCCATCTAATCGAATCATCAAAGGATAAACTGATCGACCCATCGTCTGTTTCGCACATTTTTCGGCTTTCTCCCTCCGTCGGTTGTGTCATGACTGGTTCTATTGCTGATGCCAGAGCTTCTGTCGACCGTGCTCGCGGAGAGGCGGCTGAATTCCGATACAAATATGGCTACGAAATGCCTTGCGACGTCCTTGCAAAGAGACTTGCCAACATTAACCAAGTTTACACACAAAGGGTTGGTATTTCTTGGCTTCTTTAGTGATTGTCGAGTTGCAGGCTAACAAGGGTAATGCCTTCAGGCTTACATGCGTCCGCTAGGCGTTGCCATGACTCTGATTTCCGTTGACGACGAGAAAGGCCCACAACTTTACAAATGCGACCCTGCAGGGTACTATGTCGGGTACAAGGCCACTGCATCCGGTCCCAAGCAGCAGGAGGCGCTCAATTACTTGGAGAAGAAACTGAAGAACAAGGATTATGCTGAGGGTAGTTGGGAGGAGGTTGTCGAGCTAGGTATCACGGCCTTGAGCAACGTGTTGAGTGTCGACTTCAAGAAGCACGAATTGGAGATCGGAATCGTTGGTGGTCCTCGAGCAGACGGCAGGGAGGGAACAGATCCTGCGTTCCGTGCCTTGACGGAAGAGGAGATTGACGAGCGGCTACAGGCCATCAGCGAGAAGGATTGATTTGGTAAAGGAGGATCCATGTTGCTAGATGCAGACGACATAACAATGCCACTCCTTTGATGCTCTGTGCGCTGGTCTCACTCATCCCTACTGCTGATATTCTTGGAGCGTCTGTTCCTCCCGAGTCCTTGATTTAGAAAGGTAGGACACATTATTAGTCCGCTGTCCTCCATATCGGTGGCAACTTCAATCCAAAGTACGGGGACAATGGCTGTGATATAAGGCCTTTGCTATCTGACAGGCTTGAATCGAGGGCGCTATTGACTGCAACATGCGGGAGCTGCGTTTCGACTGTGCCGAAACCTCGATAAGCGGTACAAGAACCAGATGTAGTTGACGTAAAGCAGCGTCAGGGATGAACCCGAGCAGACACCCTTGTCAACTGTCTGCTACGATCTATAGTTCGTTAATGGGGGTATTACTCCTGCTAAATTCGCCACATGTGGATCGTGGGTTCAGGTCTCTGGGGCCTCAGGCAGTAAGGTACCACCTATCACTTTTCCTTTTTCAGCTGCAATTGTTTTTTCTTGCGGTGCGGCCGACTTGTGGCTGAGCTGTATGGTGTGGCTTGACACTTGTCGTTTTGCCTGCCAAAACAGTATCCTCGTCGTCAACCATGTTCTTGTTAACAGCTGCATTTATTTTTGAAAACCTTTCTGTTTCCAAGAGGGCTGGTGAGCTGCTTTGTCCCAGTTCGTCCAGACTCCTTATTTGGTCGCTGTTGAGCACATTCCCAATCAGCGTGTGGCGGAGATGTTTGCCTGGGCCATCCAGCTGGAATGTGTTCTGCACTTGTCTTGACTCTCGAGTCTCGACTGACTCGACGACTTGTCGTGCCAGTTTCGGACGGACCACAACGACTAGCCCTCTAACCACTGTCCCCACCCTTATTAAGATGCATACACTATGGTTCTCTGTACCGTACCGTTATTCCGAGATCCAGCAGCGAAACACAATTGTGGATCAGCATTCCGCTGGCTCGGTTTGTGACACATGAGAAAATGGGACGAATTGACTACTGACCACTGACCATTCGATATCCATTATTCTATGGAGTGCTTCTCTGTTCCCAATCTATCAATCGATTACTTTTTTTTCTGCTCCGACGCTCCGCTGCATACTAAATTCGTCTTTTCCAAGCAGCAGCTTACCTTAGTCTCGCGCTTAGGTTCCGGCTTCTTTCCCAGACTTGGGGATACGACAATGCAAATGTCTATGTGGATGCTTGGATACTTGCTATTCATGGAGCCTTTCCTTGCTCCAGATCCACTGTTGTGGTCATCACCCAGCTGTGCTGACGAGCTGTGATATTCTAACCTGCTCTTCCCAGCAGCCATTGGTGCAGCCAGCCACGGCTAGGGATGGTGTTCTTGTGTAGAGATTCTGTCCTTCGTGCATCACCAGCTATACGGTCCTGAGCTGGTGTATTGAGCAATTGATCAATGGAGGATTAAGCTTAAAAGGATAACCCGCCCTCGACCATGGACGAGACTTTGTAGATGAAACCATCTTGAGCACGAACGGGTTTGTCTTCTTGTCTGTTTGTCATTAACTTCCTTATCTTTTTGCTCTTGCATTCTTGTTGCTGCTTCCCCCCCTCTCTGCTTTGTGTTTTCTCGAAGTACTTCTCACACAGTATCAATGGCTGATGGACGTAAGCAGTGTTACCACCCGGCAATGGACACTTCGAGGTAGTCCGCGGGCTACAAGATGCTAATGGATGATCCATGTCATAGTTAATCAAGCTCGCGCCCTGAGGGTCGCCGAGATCATCAACGACTACCGTACTCTTCTCATACACATTCCCCAGCAGAATGTGGAAGCACGTCCAGAAGATGCCCATGAAGAAGGCTATGTTGTGCTAAGGGAGAGCATGGCCGCAGCGCAGACTCTTATCTCGGCAAGCTACAATACAAGACAAGTGCCTACCCAAGCGAGCAGCGAGGAGACGGAACGAGTTGAACTGCAGAGGTACATATCTTCCACCTCCGAGTGCAGTGCTGAGGAGACATATTCTTATCTGCGACGCCGTTAGGGTCATCCTCGATGCCAGCGCACGGCGCTTCCAAGCGCATAAGATCTACCTCCGAGCAGCAGCAGCCAGACGCTGGGCGATTCATCGGCAAAATGTTCTTAGAGGTCAGAGACCAGGACCGCAGCATACGAGTCAACTGAAGGCTGTGAGCAACACATTCCGACAGGTAGGTTGACTTTGCAAACAAATTTACTCTAGGACACAGCCTGATCTGAAGTCTTGCCAGGAACTTCAACAAATAACTGATGCATATGTCGTTGCTGATCTTCGGGCTGCGGATGTACGCGCAGGACACTGGCTGGACGACGACCCGTCTCTGAGCGCGATTCTGACCATGATCCGGTCACGCTCATAATATTCGAAGCGACATTGTCTCAAGCTGTGGCTTGACGGCTGGTGAAATCCCGAGGTTCCACTTTACTTCGAGGAATCAATATGGGAGGTGGCATGATATATTTTCTCTTTACCAAAAAGCGCTGGTCGCTTATTCTATAGTGGGACACAAAAGCAACATGGGGGCATTCTTTCGTTTTATCTATTCTCTTTCTTCTATATGTTACTATTGCTGATGATATCCCTTGAGTGGCCAATTGTCTGTGTATTTCGGGTTTAGATATGGTTGAAATTTGACCTTTTCTATGTTGCTGATATCACCTATGTCTCTGTTTCTAGTCTATTACTCCAACTGATTTGTGTGCTTTTGTATCCACACCCGGAGCTGTTGAAATGGGAGATGAAAACCGTGTCTGACGGCACAGGGCGTCAATGTCTCCTCCTCCGTACTCTAAGAACGATGCCAGATGCTGGATGACTAGACTTCAACGTCGCACTAGCCACAAGATAGCATCATGATTCATGTCACAGGATTGAGTTCTGACGCTTGTTCCTTGTGGAGTATCTGTGATCTTGATACTCCGAGTGGAGTCAAGGTCGGACACATCCCAGCTGAGATACAGTGGGGCAGACGCCAGCAGCCCACGGTACTTTTTTTTTCCAAGTTGAATAAATTTCGGTCCCTGTTTTGATTCCAGGTGCATAGGCTACGGTAGCTATTCAATCCACAAAGAATGCTCGAACCAATGTTATTTCCAGTCTACCTTCAGATTGACTATGATGATGATGATGATGATGATGATGATGATGATGATGATGATACAGTGTGGCCGTGCGAAGGGTCCTGCAGTAGTTTGGAGTCAGTCAACACCAATCAGTGGGCTTACTCTGTGGGTTCCGGGCAGTGTTCAGCTGGTGAAGTTCGGATGTAGTCCACTCTGGTTGGTTTCTTGCTGTTTGATGTTTGATAATTGACGCGGAAAACGAGAATAGGAGGACTGCTATGGTTTATCTCATCCATGTAGGGATGCCGAAATGCTGCAGGTTGTGTGACTGATCCCACGAGGTCTGCTGTCGTGCCCTGGATTGTGGAATGTGGAATACTTCCCTTATCCTCGGCCACGTTGCATTGCCCTTTTTCTCTTCTCTGTCCACTCGGATAGACTCATTTTTCCAATTATTCTCAATCAATGAATCAGATTCAAGTGGGATGAAGAAAAGCAGACAGACATGGGATCCTGCAGTTGATTTTCCAAGTGTTTCACAGTCTTCATCACTTCGATCATGTAGAATCTCAGTCTTCTACAGGTTGACCTCCTCGTGTGATCTATATCTCGAGTCTTAATTCATCTCTCCAGCTCCTCCTCGACTCCCTTCTTCTGTAGATGCATCATGGAGCAGCTCTCTCAATGCTCGAATGTCCAAATTAAGTTGATCGGACTCTACCCGGGATCGTCCCGTGGTTTACCAACTGCAACCCATGTTCCCATGATAGAGCTTCTCTGATTTCAAGTGCATATCAAAAAGCCTCTCGAGACGTGAAGATGAACCAGGACTGGACGACAACAAAGCCAGCCGACAAGCTCTACGTTGCACAATTTCCCTGTCCCATGACGGATCGACCGAGCTAACCCAAGTGGGGTATCTGTGAGGCTATTCCTTTTCTCTGCCGTAATCTGATCTAGTTCTGTGGCGGAAACTTGACAGCCATCTCGATCAATGCTCTATCCTAGTTCAAGGAGAGGGTTTCAAATAGTCAGGCAGCAGAATTGTATCTGGAGAAATCAAAGTTCTTCCACTAAAAGCTGTTTAGAGCCCTTTTGACTGTAAGTAGGATTGGTATTTAAGAGTGCTATCTCCCACCTTTCTTTCTTGTCTCGTTCATCTCTCTGAATTCTACTATTCACCCATTTTGCAGGCTGATTTATTAAACTAGAGCTGGTGACTATCCCTTTTCATCCTATCTATTCACGAAACACAGAAAATCTCTGATTTTCATTCACAACCTCGCGAGTAAGTGTCCCTCATTCACGGCTTTTCTCGCGACTTAGGTTGCGAGATGTCTGGCGACTGGTCTATAAGTACCTCCTTCTTTCTGTTGTATCTACGCTTCTCCACTCCTTTGTGCTTCTACAGAGATCTACTCTGCTGGCAATAGCTTCTCTCGCTCCTTCAAATCAGCCTACCTTCCACTGGTGGAAGAATGGCGTTCAATCCTTTCAATTTCTGTCTCCTTTGGCTCATAGCCCTCATTGGGCTTGCAGCTCCCCTCGCTCTTTCTAATTCCAATGGAAATGACGCCGGTTGTCGTACTCAGCCTAACATCATGGCAGCTACCGAGAATTCTACTGAGATCAGCATGGAGGGCGGTTACAAGTCCATCGCATACTTTGTCAATTGGGTGAGTATTTCCCTGGATTTTCAGACGAAACCAACAGGACCTAGCTGACTGTCAACTAGGCAATCTATCAACGCAACTACAATGTTTTCGATCTTCCCGCGGACAAATTGACTCATGTTCTCTATGCTTTCGCCGATGTCCGACCCGATTCGGGAGAAGTGTGAGTATCCATCGAAGCATACTCTTTTCTCTGACAGCTTGACTAATGGTGGTGACAGGGTTATGAGAGATCCATACGCGAATGTTGACAAACACTATCCAGGTGATTCTTGGAATGAACCCGGACACAACGTTTACGGCTGCATCAAACAGTTGTTTCTCCTGAAGAAACAAAATCGCAAGCTCAAGGTCCTTCTCTCCATCGGAGGTTGGACCTTGTCTGCCAACCTCACCCAAGGAACTAGCACGGATGCTGGACGCAACACTTTTGCCCAGTCTGCTGCGAAGCTGGTCCTTGATTATGGCTTCGATGGTAAGATTTCCCTTCATAATGCATTGGCTTGCTGCAGTTGCTGATTGATCAGGTATCGATATCGATTGGGAATATCCACAGAGTGAGCTTCGACGGCGCGACGGCTGACCAGTGATTGCTGATGTTCTGTCTAGATGAGATTGAGGCTCAAGCGTATGTGTCGTTGCTCCAGAAGTGCAGAGAGGTGAGTTGGATTCTTTACATGTCCGTCGTCTCGATCAGTGGACTGACCTCCATAGGCCTTGGACAGGGCAGCCGGCCCCAATCGCAGATTTCTTCTCACAATCGCTTGCCCTGCAGGTGAGTCCTCGTCCTTGCCTCTTCGCAGAATGTTTCTGCACTGGCGAGCCGGTGGCGTGGGCTTAACTGACATTCGATCTAGGACCAAACAATTACTCCAAGCTTAAGCTGCAGGAGATGACACCTCTGCTCGACTTCTACAACCTCATGGCATACGATTATGCCGGAAGCTGGGACTCCGTTGCAGGCCACCAGGCCAACCTCTACCCATCCAACGGCAACCCCTCTTCCACCCCATTTTCAACGATCCAGGCCATCAATTACTACACTCAGGTTGGGGGAGTCCCGCCTTCCAAGATCATTCTGGGAATGCCGCTGTACGGTCGCGACTTCATGAGTACCAACGGGCCCGGCACCCCCTACGCCGGTAATGGAGGTGGGAGCTGGGAACATGGGGTATGGGATTACAAAGCTCTCCCCCAACCCGGAGCTACGGAGTCGTTTGACCAGCAAGCGGGTGCCTCTTGGTCCTACGATGCAGGCGCCCGCACCATGATCTCGTACGACACCGTCGCCGCCGCCGAGATGAAAGTGGACTTCATCAAAAGGCAGGGCTTGGGAGGCGGCATGTGGTGGGAAGCCAGTGGCGACAAGGGAGGAAAGGCAGCGAGGAAGGCCGACGGCAGTCTGATTGGAACCTTTGTGGAGGGCGTTGGCGGCATCAATGCACTCGAACAAAGCCAGAATAATCTGGACTACCACGAGTCTCAATTCGACAACCTGCGTGCTGGTTTCCCTTGAAATCGACGACTTGATGCCAATTTGACGTTACTCGAGCTTTCTCGTTGTGGCCGGTAGATCTGGCTTTACCTGATTGTACTTAGCAATCTTTGACAGATTCACCTTAGGTGATCTAATGACTTGATGAATGACAAACTTTCAGCTCCTAGCACCGGTTGACATTCCCGTAGAACTATTACCTTGACGGGTATCAGATTGACTACCAATTTAGCACGAGCGAGTAGTACCTGGTACTACACTACTGCAGAGGACTTAAGAGAGAATGTAATGGATGGCAGGATTTCCGATTTTTATCTTTATTTTCTTGAACTGCTACTAGTCCCAACCTGCATCCCACCACTCCAAAACCAACACCGGCATTGCCCAGTAGATCACCACACACTACCGGCACGGACGAACGGTGGAACGACCCGGTTCAGAAAAGCCCAACGTTTACTTGGACTCGTCGAAGACGTAGGTGAGGTGGCACTTGCCGCAGTACTGGCGGTTGTGCATAGCAGCCATGAAGATACCAGCACCGCACTACAATTCGTTAGCTGTAAGCTCTTGCTTTCGAGAAGAATAAGTTGCCATACCTCAGGGGAGGGGCACTCGCGGCGGAGACGCTCGATCTTGCCATCGCCGTCAACCTTGTAGTACTTGAGGACAGCGAGCTTGGTCTTCTTGCGCTTATGCTTGATCTTCTTGGGGGTGGTGTAGACCTTCTTCTTGCGCTTCTTGGCACCACCACGCAGGCGGAGCACGAGGTGCAGGGTCGACTCCTTCTGGATGTTGTAGTCAGAGAGGGTACGGCCGTCCTCGAGCTGCTTGCCAGCGAAGATCAGACGCTGCTGGTCGGGGGGGATTCCCTCCTTGTCTGTTGCAAAGTCAGATTAGGAGTCTTTCGAGTCACAATGCTCGGAGGGGTTGCGTACCCTGGATCTTGGACTTGACATTGTCAATGGTGTCCGAAGACTCCACCTCGAGGGTGATAGTCTTACCCGTAAGGGTCTTGACGAAGATCTGCATCTTGAATGAAGGCCTGTGAGAGGGACATTGTTAGACCGGGGCCGTTGAGCTTTTAAAGGGTTGTGCCAAAGCAATGATCCTCGGGTTGCAATTTCTCTCG